ACTGTCTCTTCAGTCAAATATTATCCATTAATGAATGCTGGGTCTCAATAGGTCCATTAAATTGAACATAAGTTGACGTCGTTCGGGCGTAACTCTTTCGATGATGAAATGCTAAAAAATACTTAACAAAATTAACATCACAACGTGGCCGAACTCACGCGTGATCTGTCAAAAAAAACTATTGAATAAAGTGCCTCTACTTGGATCATCCATTATATTTAGACCTGTGGTTTTCAATACGGCAATACATTTTTGGAGTTGGTCTTTTCGAAAGTCAATACCTGATTCAAACTCAGTTTAGTTTTCCATTTCATAATGAACAGAATTATTAGGGTGTAATAGTTGAAAATGCCGCGCTGCATCCAATATTCGCTCGACATCATCACTCAGCCGATTAGGTTATTCGAACAACTATGGCTCGATTGCGCACCACGCTTACTACAATAGGTAATGCGCATCCACAGTGCACATCCTGCATCTGGCGTCGCACGTACCAATTAGGGGTGTGTGCATCTACTTTATGGAAGATCTTGCTGAAGAATCTTAGTTTTATTGGTTGAAGTCGAACGACCAAAATGCGCATCGTATTAAACAGTGAAGCTCAGTTTGGAGTGTTACCCACAAGCCAATGTTCAGATGCCTCAAAAAGTCAATGGTTATAAATAGCGCTTTGTAATAACTGAAACGACTTTCGGCCGATCTCCTCTTCCAATTTGTGTTTTTGCGTCTTGATGTTTTTCCAGCAAATGGAGAGACTGACAGAGAAGCCTTATTTAATGTTAGAAATACACTCGGAGGACTTGACATTCCCTGCAGAGGGGGGACTGCAATTAGAATATTTAACTTAAATTTTTATTTAAATTAATTTTCTATAACTTTTGGTTATCGCTCGTGCAGAATTTGAACCTTGGCCTTCCATTGTCCAAAAATGTAGCCGCTCATTAAATGACATAGTCTATAGAGAACGCTATAAAGCCGTGATGACAATAATAACTTCATGGACTCAAATTGGAGTATGTTGATGTGAACGACCTTTAGTTCCTACAAGATGGGCGCCACATGTCATACAACCAAGGAAACAATCAATTTATTAAAAGGAACCTTTCAGTGAGCACAATGGATCTGTGGCGTGGTCTTCAAGAAGAGAACATTTGGAGCATTACTCCTGACATCCGGCATCAAAGAGTGGTAGAAAGTTATGCCTCGCGGTTCGAGTTTATTTGAGTTATGAAAAAAAATAAGATGGGGCTTATGACTTCAGAAAACTGAATATGTAAAGGACTTCGTTAAAAAACCAACGAGAGGTATATATGTGGGACCTTTTATTCACTATTATGTGGTTTATGAATAAAAGAATGTTTTGATTTGAAATTAAGAGTTTATTGATTAATTAATAATAAGAATTAAAAAGTTTTTTCGTCTATGTTGGTTTGCGCCGTCTAATATGGTTCGCGTCTACAAGTGAACTAACTTCTGCTCAGCTTCATGGCTACTTTGTCAAGAGTTGTGCTTTGCAGACGTAGTTTTGTAGTATGGTAAGGGTTTCCAACTATACTGCTGGTTTACCCAATCCCACATATATATTAATCACTGTTAAAAAAAAAATATTTCTGCTTAAATAGGTCTACCAATTTGCCACCAAATGGAAGAACCCAAATTTTCAGCTTACCCTACAAGCTATGGATTTTTGAGAGAAATCAATACTTTCATAAGAAAAATTTGTATTATATTCTAAAATTTGTTTAATTTAGCAAATAAAAACTTTTCTACACATTCCTAGTTAGGCGTTCTGTATCATACAGCGCCTACAGCGGTGTACCTTTGGAAAAATATCTAACCCCAACCTCTCAACTTCTACACCACATTACTCACATTAGTTAGCCAACACTTACGTAAGAGCAATATATCGCCTACAGTATTCGTTAGTTAGCCAACGTCGAAGCGTTTTGCTGCATAGTTAGTGAATTATAGGAGTACTCGTATGTGGATTTGCATAGCGCCAAAGCTCGTACAGGTGCCCACAAATCGCAATCGGATACCAATTTCTAATTGGCGGTTGTTATTGTAAACAATTTTTTAGCATTACACAAATGTTATTGTTGTTTTTGTTATCCACACTTTTAACGACAAGGATTTTATTACAGCGTTATGTTGTTGTTATTGCAGCACTGAGTCCATTCGGTTATCGCCATTGTTAGCGGCAAGCATTGGTGTTATTTTGCGGTTGTCTGCCATTGTCACTGTTATTTTTGCGGTTTATAGAACAAGCATTTAACGGTAAATATGTGCGATTGTACGTATGTAACTATTGACCGCTGTTGGCGCGACTCCGATTACAACTATGAACGCGGCATACATACATATCTACATTTCTATATGTCTACAGGTGCATAGGTAGAAGCGAAATGTGATACCAACGGCGGTGCTCGTACAGTGAATAAAGACACACTCGAACATACCATGGGTAATCAGTTTTGTCTCGATCAAGTAATTGGTTGGTTGCCGGCGATACAAGCTAATTTGCTTATTTTACTTTAAAGTAATCTGATTTTGTTAAAGGAACTAATTAATTTAGTTCTCTTTTTCTCTGTTCTCCTTGTTTCCTCTGCTTTCTACTTTTATTCATAGTTGGTGTAGTCAATGACATCAGTCATATCTATCACATGAAAGTACCAAACAAATCCGAGTCACACTTTATTTAATTTTTCAATGATTTTACATTTCTCAAGTAAGCTCCGTAAAGCCTGTCGCTCGAACACTCAAGCTCCAAGATAAATGCAAGTGCTAATAACTTCGAAGTCTTGTTCTTATATTTATGGATTGGTGAGACCATATATAGGTTCGTCGGGCACAAATTCAGTTAATGCAACTACTGTCGGCTCCAGCCGCTTTTATTTGTTCCTTCCTTCACCTGCCACTCTACCTTCGTCGTAGTTCGATGACGGTAAGTCTATCTTCTGGTTAAGGATTATGTTTTTCTATCCGTCATCTCCAGGTGTTTATTGGCGCTAATGTTGAGTAGACTCGGAGAGCTTTTTCATTTCATAAACAAGTGCTGTTCTGAGCCTTCATTTCCAGATTAGTTTTGAAACCTTGAAAAGGTCTTGCAACTCCTGGTAGAATTTGTAAATATTTGTATCCTCTGAAAAATTCATAAGCTCCTCGCATTAATCTACTTCAGCTTCGTTTTGTGCGTCATACTTTTTTCTGCAACCAATGAATTCGTTACTACAAAGCAGGCAGTGGATCCGATCATATCTTTGCAATATATACTGTTATTTTCATTTCAACGTACATATCAGATTTCTGTGGAATCTTCTTGTTTCCTGTGACGATGATCCGGCATTTTGAAGAGGTGTTCCATAATTCAAATTCATACATTGAACTCCTGATGAAAGCAATAAAAAGACACGAAAGCGAGTCAAGTAGAAAATATCCTGCTCTACACGGGTCTTGCACTTTAATGCCCTCAAACTGGACTCATTGTTTTCTCTTCTACAAAGACGTTTCTTGACTGCAACTACGTCCCGGACATCTTTCGACAAAAAAATTTCCGTCTCTAATATGCTGGCCAACTCATTCTAAATTCTAATTTAGCAATATTTCGTAGTTTAGTCGGAATTATCCCATTGTTGCATCAACTATATCTGCGTTTCAATGAGCTCATTGGCGTCAAAAATCACACTGTGAGTTCTGTTTTATCTTTACTGAAGAGGGAAGCGGTACGTATCGGTCGGGTAGTGGACGATAAGACTACTTCAGCTTTTATGCAGTACCAGCCAGTGGAGTGAGAGGGAGAGAACCATTGGAAAATCCAGGTATTAACAATTGGCGCCAAACAGTGAAGAGAAGATATAACCGCTGCAACTCGACTATAAAAAGAGAATAAAGAGAAAAACTCCTCTCATTTAGCTCACCATGCGCGGAAGCGTTTATAGAAAGCATCCATAACGTGGCATAAGGAAACTATGATTATTATTGTGGTGAGATATTCATCAATACTTAACGGCGAAATTTCTTCTGATTTAAGCCCAAATTCAACAGCTGTCGGATAGGTAGGTTGAAGAGTTTTGTCGAATTTCTAACTTCGACATGCCTCGAACAAATCTATTGTCTATAACCCCACCCTTTTCAATCCGCTTGGGCTCCCTTATGAGTATCACAAAATTAATCATGAAGAAGGTTACAGTTACAATATGCTGAAGTCTACTTCTTCGTAGATCAAAGCACTCGATGGAAAATCGTCTCTTCTATTTAACTATTCCTGCAACTCCAATAAGATCTTCTGAGAGCAACCATTAACGTCGTTTTATAGACAATATCCGTCAAGATCTCAATTATCTTTGAAATGTGAATCTCTCTCAGAAGTTGTGTGTCTTTAAACCTTCTCATTTCAGCCAAGTTTATCTCAACTTGTGGACAAGTTTCCCGAGCTCTCTGTATGTGGATTTCTTAAGAATCTGCTTACATGAAGCTAAAGACAAAACAATACGTTCTTTATATGAAAAAAGTTGATTGATCGTACTTCGCCTCACAAGTTCATCTGCCCTGCAGTTCCTTCTACCTTTTATTGGTAAAGAAGGACCCAAACTAGGAAGAGTATAGTATATTATATTCAGCCATCTCCTGTAGAGATCTACAACAGTTCAATAAAATTGTATATTTGGTTTGTTGAAGTCCAGAAATGTCGCTTCTTGAGTATTAGTTTCCAACATGTTTTACACTTATAAAGAAACCTACAGTTTATACAAAACCGCCTTCGAAAGGATGATGGTTTTTTTACGAGGAGCCTTTATTTCATGTCAGAAACACGCACAGAGGGGTTGACATTCCGTACCGAGAGGCAACGGCAATTAGAAAATTTAACTTAATTTTGTATTTAAATTGATTTCTATAATTTTTTAATGTTGGTCGTACCAGGATTAGAACCACAATTTTCCGATACCATTCTCCCCTCGCCATATTTTACAACAATCCAAAGACAATAAAAAACTTTGGTTTTATTTTATAAGAGACCATTTTATAATTATCATACAAAATACCAAAATATGTAATGATTTCATTGCTTCAAAAGATTTTCCACCACTTGCTACGGCTATCCAAGCGCGATGATGATAAACACTGGTGAAAACAGTGGGTTTGCCTTTTTCACCACAAAACGAGCCCCATGAGACAACAGCAGCCACAGAATCTGAACAAATCAGCGGAGCACCCGAATCGCCGCGACAAGCATCCACATCCCAAGTACCTTCTCTGCCAGCACAGACCATGGATTCATGAAAGTAACCCGGATAAAATTTTCGGCAAACGTCATAAGAAAATACCCTTACGTCGGCAGATATAGCATACGCCGAATATGGGCCCCGCTAAGCACGTTCCCACGTATGTATGTATGTAAATATGTATTTAAAAAAAATAAGATGCGTTTAACACTACATACTCACATAAAATAGTTGACCCCAACCGATAATTTGGCATAAGGTGCCTGGCTCTGCAATGGATCTCAGCAGCGGTATGATCTTAACGAAATCATTGTCGTCGGGAAAATGGTCGGCGAGTCGTAGAAGAGCTATATCGTGCACACCTTTTCGTATGAAATTCGGGTGTGGCAAAACGGCTGATACTTTCATTTCCAAGGTGGCAGCATGTTTCGTAAAACGATTCTGTGCGCCAGCCACAACGAGTAAACGATGCGGGCGCGTGATAATCTTTCGTCGGCTAAAACAGTTTAAATATGGATATATCGATTTGAACTAATCTTTCATCTATCTGCAAACCCTCACTCAACCACACAATGCGCCGCAGTCAATATTAAATTATCGGATATGATTGAACCCACGCAAAAATGATTATCCCCAAAGTAGGCAGTCGCTCTGGCGGTGCGTATGGACACCACATATTTACTGAGATTATTTTTCGATGGTCTATATCCGCCAGCAATGAGCATACGGCTCTCATTGTACACCGCATTAGCCAGCTCGGGTGGTATTACGAACTCCTCACTGTGATTGTGATGACTGATCACTTTCGGTAGACTCTGAGCTCTTTGTGCACTTAGCGGGAGTAATAGTGTCATTATATAGCAAAGAATATGCAAATACAGCAATGAAGTCAACATCGCAATGCTTTTCTTCAGGAAAATTTTATTTTTAAATGAAAACAAAAATATTTATTTCCTTGTTCTTTTTTTTCTTAGAGTCAACTTACTGACATTCGAATGATGACTCGACTAGTAAAGAAACATATGGAATCAGGCATACACGGTAGACAAGAATTTTATTTAAAAATAAACTAATTATGGATTCTACAACATGCAGTAGACCACCGGGAATGTGAAAAGAACCGAAGTTATTTTCTTCCGAGCTGTCTTTTAACTCAAGTAGAGTCGTGAGTGTTGCTTTTTGGCAGAATATTACCATTAAAAATCTTGATGGACTATGCAGCAACTACTTAACAATGCTTGGGTAGAGGAAACTCGCTTGGCTTTTCGAGATTTGCCATTAGTCCAACGCTCTTTTTTAATGCTTTAAGTTCGAAGCTTCGGTAGTAATTATTTATGGCCGATTCAATCTTGATGCGATCAAAAGTCTTAAATAAAATGGTAGTGATTGTGATCCTAGGACGAACTGAGTTATGAAGCAGCAAGCTTGTATTGATTTTTGTGAAGGATCCTGTCGATTCGACGGTAAGAAAGTCTTTTGAAACAAAGTTCAAAGTACAGAAAGACCTCATTTTAAAATACTTATCATCATGGGAGAAAATCATTCATTACCAAATTGTTTTCAGGTACACTAAGATTTTGGAAATAATTTTTCAAACAAATAGCATAAATCGTCAAAACAAAACTTCAAGAGAGAAACGTACTATATACTTTAAATGCCCATAAATAACCTCCCCATGGAAGTAAATCTCTCTGGAGCTATTTTTCTATAAAGCTTCTCTAACCTTCAGTTACTAAATCCAGCTTATATTGTTTATTCTGAAGCTTCAGTGAGGTTACACTGGGCGGCTGATGAGCCTTAAGTAGTCCTCGCGTAGGAAGTCAATCTTTCTCTCGAACTTCAAGAGAGCCTTAATATCAAATTTTGAAGAATCCTCCTGGCCTTTTGCCTGCAAAGCACCGAATTTTAGGTAAGACCTGACAGAAGGAGAAATTCTAACATTCTTCGCAATGTTTTTAGTGCGTTCCATCTCACACTAACCCGGCAACTAGCTTATAGCTTCCTTGCTTCTAGGAACATTTACTGACACAATACGATTTGAGATTATTGCCTCAATTCAGTCCGATAATCCACATAAATATTGATATTATTCTGTATTACTGCTTTCTCAGCAGATTTCGCTATAGAGAATAACTCTGCCTGGAAAATATTGCAGTACTTTAGAAGCTTACTCTATCAGCCATTTGTTATCCATCCGTACTGTGCGTCAACCACCCTCCTGAAACATAGCTTCAAACCTTCTTTCACAGCTGAATGTATAAGTTTTACTTTCTCCTCCAACTCCCTATAAATGGCGCTGTGCCTGAAGATTCTTCATTTAAGATCCTCAATCTCATTACGAATTTCGCTGCTGCACTCCACTGCGATCTCAATTGGCGGTAGATCGGATATCCTTTCAAGTGCCTCTAAAATTAGTTCTTAGCGCTCTTGTTGCGTATAGGGCTTCAAACTGCTGTAATCGTTTCAAATGGTTTTCTATACCAGATCTTGTTTACAGCAATCTACCATACCAGAGCGCGTAGAAAAGTTTAGTCCAGAAAGGCCACTAAATTGAAAAAAAAAACTCTGTAGAGTCGAATTAACTTTAGCAATGCCACAGTTACACATGCAGAGCTGGGCACTAGGAAGAGCAGGCTAGGTGCGTATTCTTGTCCTCACTAGACGCCGCCTGTTCGCACCGCCGACACTGCTTCGGCGAAACTTGCTACAAAACCAGTACTTCGAATACGCGACTTCTGTTTCCATTTTTCCACTAATGTATGCAATGTTTTAATAAACTAATACGCATAGAAAATATAGCAGTATATGCAATAACATAACGGCATTTATATCTCGAATATCTTCAGCGCCACTTGCCCTTTTAATCCAGTCACGATGATGAAACACACTCATAAAAACAATCGGTTTCCATTCTTCAGCACAGTACGAGCTCCATGCAACAACCCCGGTTACCACGCCATCACATATCAACGGACCACCCGAGTCACCGCGACAAGCATCAGTATCCATTGCATTGGGATTACCAGCACAAATCATTGTCTCATCAAATACATCGGGATAAAATGATTTACAATAATCATAAGAGAATATTGTTACGTTGGCAACTATGGCGAAAGCAGAGTACGGACCGCGCTGAAAGCATATGTGTAATGAAATTTTATGCAGAAAATGCAAATAAAAATCTGTCTCAACTTACAAAAAAGAGATGACCCCATCCAATAATTTGACAGCGTGTGCCCGCAACAGCGATCTTCCTAGCCATCGGTATTATTTTGATTAGATCATTGTCGTCGGGAAAACTCGCATAGGTGCGCAACAGAGCGATATCGTGTGCACCGCTTGGCACAAATCTATGGTGAGGCAGGACATCTTCGACATTCACCTCAAATGTATTTATGATTTTAAGCAAACGATTCGGTGTACCAGCAACAACGAGAAGACGATGCGAACGAGTAACGATCTTTCGGCGACTAAAGAGAAAAGATATGATAACAATAATATTGAATAAGAAAAAAAAAGATAATAATAAAAGTTATGGTATAAAAAACAAAAACAATAACAATTATAATGGAGGGTAGTCATGCTGCTGGGTATACTGCTACAGAAATTGCCTACACAATTCCTTTTCTCTTGCGTCCATTACACTCAACTGGGAAAAGTGGGTAGCACTTTTGTGAGTTGCAGTAACAAACCCGTCTGGAGCCTTTAGTAACAACTTAAAGAGAGGATGCTTTGCAGCCACTCTTACATATTCGGTTTAAGGGTTCGCTGAAGTCTAATTGCAACGATTTTTCACCAGAGGATAAGCAGCCGCAGCTAGAGGATGTCGTCATAAAGCAAAAGGTTAGCATCATCTTGTCTAAGAAGTCTTATGGACATACCACTATGGAAACGAGTAGGTCCTTGTGACATTTACTATGGCGACCAAATAAAGGAAGACCGAATACATCTCATCACATTCCGCTACAAAGCAAAAACGCTGTTTTACGTCCTCGCCAAGCCGGCAAAAAATGATGATATTACCAAGGATACCTTTTATGAGTATTTCGAGAGTACTCATGAGCTGCCCTCGCCACGATGTTAAAATTGAGCTTGGAACTTACAACGCCAGGGGGATCAAGGAATGTATTTTCGGTACAGCTGTCGAAAAGTTCTGTCTCCTCAACAAACCATTCCTAATACGGTTGTTCGTAGTACTAGATTCCAACACAAGAAATTTCATTAAACTCTTTGGCTGTATCTAGATCGAAAAACTCACAACGAGTTTTATCTAGCTGAGATAGACGGATTACATGTTTTCAGTATTATGAGGACTAAACACCGACTCAGATTATTATTTTCTTCATCATCAAAAAGCTTCATTCACAACAACTAGCAGAATGGTTTTCTTCGCTCTGCCATCTGAGAGTTCTCAGCATCTGCAAAATCGATACAAAAAACTGGGGGACGTCATTTCAAGCATCCCAGTACCGCTTCAAATGAAATCATTGGTTTCTGGAAAGGTCGAAAGTTGAAGTGGAGAGAGCTACCTCTTCAAGTGTGGGATGGGAAAAAGATATCAAGAATTGAAGACGCATATGCTGGCTCAGTCTACAGATCCACCTCCATGTTTCCAAGGGAAGGAGCTTCGGTCTCACCAGTATAAAAAAATTTTTGTTCTTAATTGTATTTCAAAAATTAATCCATACCAAATCGGTAATGGTAAATATATTATATGGCACTGAGCTTATCTAGGCCATTGGTCTAGAAGGTCTTAAAATTGCTGGTTGGGAAACTAGGGATCGCCATAAGCGGACTTAAGGGCATTCTATGTAAACCACTGGCTATCGATTTATCGCAAAACGTGATGGGATTTTTTTGCTTAGCATAAATTAATTTGTATATATATTTTCACTTACTCAACAACACAATGGGCCGCGGTTAAAATTAAATCATCCGAAATTATTGAGCCAACACAAAAGTGATTATCACCAAAATACGCCGTCGCTCTGGCTGTGCGGATAGACACCACATACTTGAATATCTTATGTTTCCAAGGCCGAAAACCGCCGGCTATAAGCATAACAGGTTTCCCATAGCTTCTTCTAATATTAACAAATTCTGGTGGTAGCTTCCCGTTATTTTTAACACTACGCATAGAGCAACTTGCCTGTAGCAACAGAAGTACCGGTGTAACACAACACAGAAAATTCACCAAGTATTGTGGAATCAACATGGGAACTTATGTGATTGAGCTGATAACTTCTTTTTACATATCTTTTGCAATTATTCAGAAGGCGTTTTTCACGAAACTAATATATGAGTTCTTTTTAACGCGAATACAAAATACAAGAAAGTTTGAAAAATATTTTCTTATTACTTCACTGACATTTAAGAAATAATTGAAATTGGAAACAAGGTGTCTCAGTGAAGAACACTCCCAAGAAACAAGGTGTCTCAGTGAAGAACACTCCCAAGGAACTATAGAAACTCTCCATTATTATAATAGACCTTAAAGCTGAAAAACTTAAGAATTCTAAGGCAAAGTGAAATGGCAGATTGTTGTAAAAATATTTTTTTATTTAAGTAACTCTGTGCTTTACAAACAATACATCAATATAAACTCAGCCAATAAAATGAATCGAATTTTTTTCCCAATCAGTAAGCGTGCCTGTTCATTCATTACAGATTTAATCCAATCCAAATTATAATATATATCGCTATATAAACTAGGGGACTCTTTTTCCCCACAGCCAAGAGTCCACGAGACTACAGCCACTAATTTGTCATTACAAATCAGAGGACCACCCGCGTCACCACGACATGGATCGTGATCGAAACCAATATTATCGCCAGCACACAAATCACCCTTCGAGTACCGAGGATGACTTTTCTTGCAATTCTCCTCGGTGTAGAGTACCAGTTCGACGTGAGATACCATTGCCGCATATGGCCCCTTCTGGAAAAATATATATGTACATATAATTAAACTAAATTAATCAAAAAGATTAATTAAATAATTAAGATTAAAAAAAAATTAAAACATTAACAACAACAAATTAAAACAAAATAAAAATTATACATTAAAAAAAAGAAATCTGCTATATTTAGATATGTTAAATAAAAAAATGAAATAAAGGGACTTAATTAAAATCAATAGTAAAATATAAAATAATATAAAACATTATTGAAATAAATTAAAATAAAATGAATTTAAATAAAATTAAATATAATAATATAAAATTAATTAAATATAATTATATAGAACAAGATAGAATAAAACAAAATAAAAAACCAAATATAATAAAATAAAGTGAAATAAAACAAAAAGAGACAAAATGAAATAAAATAACGTTAAGTACAATAAGAAAAATAAAACTAAGCCAAATAAAATAATATAAAATAAACTAAAATCAAAAAAAAAATTATTTAAAATTAAATAAAAAAAATTAAATGAAATAACCAAATAAAATAAAATAAAATAAAATGAAATGAAAAATAAAAGACGATAAGATGAAATAAAATAAAATTAAAATATATATAATATGTTTATAAAACGAAATAAAATAAAATAAAGGAATTAAAATGAAATTAACAAAATAAAATAAAATAAAATGAATTAAAGTAAAATAAAATACTATTAAGCAAAATAAAGTAGAATTAAATATAAAAAAATTAAAATAAAAAATGAAAGAAAATATAGCAACATAAAATAAAATAAAATAAATTACTTGAATGAAATTAAAAAAATAAAATTGAATGAAGGAAATAAAATAAAATAAAATAAAATAAAATAAAATGAACTAAAATAAAAAGGATTAAAATAAAATCAACTAAAATAAAAAATGAGACCCAATAAAATAAAAAAAACAACAAAAAATAAAAATTAAAGAAAATGAGATGAATCGAAATAAAATAAATATAAATAAAGTATGTTTATAAAACAAAATAAAATTAAATAACCGAATTAAAATAAGATAAAAGAAAATAAAATAAACAAATAAAAACAAATAAAATTTGTTTATAAAACAAAATTAAAAATAAAACAAACGAATTAAGATGAAACTAACAAAATAAAATGTAATAAAAGGAATTGAAATAAAATAAAATAAAAAAAATGTTAAGCAACAAAAATTAGAATAAAATATAAAATAATAAAATAAAGTAAATTGAAATAAAAGGAATAAATTAACTATATTAATAAAAAAAATAAATTAAATAAAACCAAATAAAATAGAAAGAGAAAAAATAATCTTATATAAATTACATACAAAATAAAGTCTACCCCAACCCACAACCACACAACGTTGACCATATGGTGGTGGGGCAGTTGGTAACGGCATAATTTGTACACGTGCATTTAACTGTATATTAGCCTTTAAACGCAGCATGCCTATGTCATTCGTGCTGAGCAGCGTAAAATTCGGATTTGAAACCACTCGCTCCACGGCCATTAGACGCGTTGTTGGACTACTTACAATGCGATTCTCGGTGCCAATCACAACAATGAGCGTGCGTGGACGTCGCGGCAGTAGAGATGGACTTTAATAAAAAGTAAAAATAAAAAAAAAAACTATTAAAATATTTGAAACTGCAATTGATTTCGTAATTTATTAAATTTACTTACTAGACAATACATTGCGCCGATGTCAATATCCAACGTATGCTTATTATGACGCCAGCACAATAGTGATTATCGCCAAAATATTTTGTAGCCGTACGAGCTCGCAATGAAACCATAAATCTCGTGTAATTTTGCACTTCTGGTATACGTTGCCCACCGGCTACCAGAAATGTATAATCTCCCGGGTGACAGGACAAATTGGTTACGTGGGTTTGACATCGTTGCGATAGTTGAAGTAACAGTAATATGGTTAGATAGCTTATGCTCACGTTCGACATTGTGAGATGCTTTTAGAAATATTTTAGGATGTAATATATATTATGAAATGAAGATTCAAAGAAAAGAATGAAAGCTTCAAAAAATATTTGAAAATGTCATAATCCATCAACAAGGTGATTCGGAAATCTGAAACTTTATTAATAAATTTTTATAACTTAGCGAAATAATTAAGTAACCGTATATCTCGAGCCGAAAATCGCTTTAGCGGTTTCAAAAAGCCAATATAAATTCCAAGTTGGGGTTTGCGCCCTACCATTATTCCAACAAATGGGGAGATCTACAGTTTTGTCTAAGCTGACTCCGAACAGACGATGGATTTTTATAAGGAGTTTTTATTTCACGCCAAAAATACAATCGGACAGTTTGATATTCCCTGCCGTGGGGTGACCGCAATGAGATATATTGGTTTTCTATAATTTTAATGTTGGTCGAACTCTGGCATTCCAAATAACACTATGCAATCGGACCGCCTACATATCCACAATAAAACATTATCAAATCTTTGTTCGCGTTAAGAACCTGAAGTAGGATCAGTAAATGAACATATCTTTTCTTTACTCATTCCGGCATCCATAATTTTCAAGTCGAAGTTAGTTTTGTAAACGATAAATTAGACCGAAGTTAGTCCACATACACGTACGACGGTCATGATTTCTTTATCTAACACAATGAAGCCTCTTTGTGAATAAAGTTCTTAACAAAATTTCTCAGTTAACCAGAATCTTAGTTGGAGAGACCCTCTAAAAAAGTGTGGCACAAATTTAGAATTTGTCATGACTGGGCGTATAAAGTCTGGAATCAAAAAAAAGACTTGAAAAACTCTGTTACGAAGCAGTTATATCGACGATGACGTGGATATAGATAAATTAGACTATCATCTGTTCTTGTCTATGGTGCGTGATTTACCTGATGAAGAAGCCTGTGGAAATTGATAGTCACAATTTTTTATTAAAATAGCCCAGCATTTCTATGAGAGAGGTATAACGTCAATACCTTCAAATGACAAAAAGTTATCGAGTAAGCAGCCTGTGTTTCCCATGTCATATAATTAACTGTAAAACACCAAGGGAATGGACAGAGAACTCCACCTCGTTGGGTGCCTCTTTTGGCATGCCTGCTTGCCGAAACGCCCTTTAGTTCAGCGGAAATTACCCTCTGTGCATCAAGAACCATCTCTGGTAGTGTGTTCACACACAAAAAGAATAAATGCTGGCATGACCACGGCGCACAAAATTACTTTCACTTTTTATATATACACGTATGTATGTAGATATTTCTAATATTATTATAGGTATAGAAAGGGACTTTGAGTAATCTTAAAGTTATAATCTTGATTACTGCTCCTTGTCGCTCTACTTTGCTCTATTGTTTTTTATTTTTTTTATTTTGGAGCTTTCTCTCGAAGTGAGCTGTTTTACTCTAATTTCAGTTCCAAAAAATAAACCTTTATTTCAAATAAATAGCATTTTTTTGCACTTACAACTGACCCACAGCCAATCGAAATATCAGCAGCACTTCCACTTCGCTCCTGCGCTCCCATAAGGTTTTTACTCATCGCCATTTTCCTTATTGATTTGTTAGAACGATTACCATAAATTGTTTTTTTTTTATTGTTTAACTGTTATTAAAATTGTGCAAGCTCTGCAAAATTGTTTTTGTCATATCTTAACAGTTTGCTTAGACCATAACACCTGAGCAATAATTTGCATATATGTATATATGTTTATAGCAGAAACGGTTAAACATTTATCTGCTAACACTTTCCAAAATCGAACTCAGCAAAACTTCATAACTGTTTCAACACTTTGCTTATGGCGAAAGTCCTTTAGAAGTGTCCTTGCCAACGGTTGAGTGCGAGTGATTTTCCGGAGTGTGTATGTGTTAGTTAGTGTGTGTGTACTTGTGCTTGTAGTGCAACATTTTCTGACAGTTTATGCAAAATTCGTCCCCAAAATGGCAAATTTGCAAATTTAATGGTGTAAACAAATTCAATCAATGCATGTAAACAATGACAGGCACCAGCAATAACAACAACAACGACTGCAACAGCAACAGCAGGCATGCATGTATCAGTGAATGTAACATATAACAGCTACTATAAACAACAAAACATACATTTCTACATACCAACATACTCGTATGTACATACTCTTATATGTGTAACGGCGTTGGGGGTGTAGTTGCCAGCAATAAAAACAATCCGGAAACGGAAGTGCAAGTGCAAGGCAAGAAACCGCAATACAAGGAAGCCGATATGACCACTCTTCGCACATACAAACATCAACTTACACTCATACTAACATTGCACAACTGGTACAGTATTTAAATGGACATTGAAATTATCTGAAATTTTCGCAACTACAATTGCAGGCTCAGATTGAGGTATTCAAACTTAGTTTTTAACCGGAGCCGGAGCCCCAAGTGAAAGAGCGAACTTTCCTCACAATCCGAATCTCTCAATGGCACTTATATCTAGTTTATGATTTTATTTTATCATACTTCTTTCCCAGGTCTAGGTTGGGCTAAGTTGGCTGATTTCACAGCTATCAAAGACCTTGGACACAAATTTTCCAGCGAAGTGCTTAGTTTATGTCTTCTGAGTTTAGGAATTATTAGCTCTGAGGGTTCTCATTAACAACCACGCCAAGCCACAGTTCAAAAATGAATTCGCCCTCTTCGAACAGGATATTTGGTAAAGTCTTAAGCTTGACTGCGGGAATACCAAGCAGACAGTAACCATTAAGTATTTCTAGTATACGAAGAAATTCCACGAATTTATGTTGTCCATTTTGGCGCAGATATATTTCAAAATTGCAAATATGTATATCACACCTGTAAAAAATTAGGTCGAGTTTCGTCAGAAAAACAGCTGTTTGAGTTTTGCTTGATGTTCGCGGACTTATCCCCTGTGACTCGATATCTTCATAATTTTTATCTCGAAATAACTCAATGCGACCGCAGTGTCTTGAATTTCTATCAGTCGTGTTGTTATCTGGCCTCTTGCTTGGAAGCCACTCTCCGAAGTAGTCAATAAATCTAAGTGTGCATAGAAAGCTTCCGTCAGAATATTGCATTAATTTTTACGTAAAGCCTAGACCCATCTATAATGTAGTGATGGAATAATGGCAGAAAAAAGCCCCCTGATGCCAACTAGAATTTATAGTGAACAGTGCAGCTTGGAATAAAGTCTGAATACTGAAGAAAATCACAAGCCAAATAAATTTTCATAATCGGGATTATAACCGACGCTCTAATCGTATTTGACTCACCTGCAATGCCCACAGCCACAATCCTACATAGATGAAGTTAAGTGCCAAAGTTAGAGTGGTTCGAAATTTTCCACAGAAAGTAGGGAGGTCTACCCGTTACACGTTTTCAAGGAGACGTAAATCAAAGTTTTAAATCGGTGTTCGTATATTAAAAATCAATTATTTCACCTTTCAAAATTACAATATGGAATTCGTACTTACCATCAAATTTATCCAAATCACCAATTTCGCACACTGTAAGCACATTTAAATCTAAATATGAGCACTTGGATTTTTACATAAGTACATAAGTACATATTGTATATACTGCGAAGGCATTCAACTCTCCATCAGCATTGGGTACGGGACAACAATCAGTGTTGTGGCATCAGTCTGTGTTGCAGTCGTTTAATGGTCGATCAATCGTTATTGTTATTCACCTACAACCATCCTCTGATCCTTCACTCTGCCATGTGAAAGTGTCCAGCTGTTTGCAGGTTTACTTTATTTTCTTACTGTTTATTGTTTATCTGGTTGGGCCAGAGACAAGCCGATTTATGCAGCTGTGAAGCGGGGGTCGAGGGATGGCAAAAGCGTTGTGAAGTACACATATGCGCATATGAGTATGTTGCGAAAACTTAACTACACGTTGAAGAGCTCATGCAAATGCAGTAAAAGCACACATAACACAAATATATATATATATGAATGTATACGAAATCATAAAATTTTATAAATATACTATTTTTTCACATGCTGACTCATATTTGCAGAAATTGTTTGAAGAATCCGGGAAACTTGGAGTTAAATGAAAAATAAGCACTGAGTTTTCAATTTCATTTCAAAATATTTTGAAAAACAATTTTGGTTATTAAAAATGATTTCCAATGATTTTTTCTCCCAATAATTGCTACTTCCAGCATGGGTCCGAAATCAAAAGAATTTGGGATTTAAGTTTGATAATATTGATCTCACAATTATCACTTCTGGGGTGTAGAAAAAGCGGTATTTCGAACAACTCAGATCAAAGAGCGGAGATTTGTGAGTTTGGCTTAGAATAAGCTTGCGAAGAGGTGAGTATTTTTATTCAAGTATTGGTTGCATGTGAGAATAAACTCCGTGTACCTGGATCATACCAGCTGGCAGTTGCGCCTTTCATAGACCAATTGACATCCAAATTTGACACTTCTTCTTTGAATACCGAAACATCTAGTTGATTTCTAGATAAGGTCAATGTCTCACTTATGCTAACAATGCCCATTCTGCTCTCCTTTAGGTATGCCGTTGGGACAACAACTGTCTTGCATTCATTGCGAGACACGCATGAAAAAAATAGGTGTGTTTTATTTTACTAACATTGTGTTGTATAGCATAGCATACCGTTATGGCTTTCCATCTCAACCGAAACATTCCAGCTCTTTTGGAAATTTCAACTATACCTTACTTGTGCTAACCTTAGAACTTTTCTTTATCGGCATCAAATGCACTGTACGCTTTTAACCTTCCGTTGCAGCGTAAATTTGCCAGTTACACTACAATAACTGTGAACTACTCCCTTCACAGAGGAGGTCCGGCTGCTAACGACACAGCAAGTAGAATCGCTATACCCCAAGGTGGTAGTAGCTTCTTCTCCCACCAACTGTTTGGCTGATATCCCAGTCCGCCTTTTCTTGTTTGCCGTCTGCTCGCCCTGCCGAGACTCACTCTAGATACCAGCATAGGTGTCAGATTACTGCGATATCCATGCCTCATAAGCTCCTGAATATCGTCTTAAGACCGTATGCGAAATGACGG